GAGCCCCACACAGGCCCCGCCCCCAGGCCGTCCCCGCTCCAACCCCGCGCACGCGCACTTTCCCCCAGACCCGGCAGCCCGTCGCTTGGAGTCAAGGCCGCGGCGTGGATCGTGAGTGTCCCTCTAGCTAGATTAAACCTGCGCTTCGCAGGCCCCAGCGCCTCCCTACCCGATGTCCGGAGGTGCCCTCAGCCCTTAAAATCCCCGCCCCGCTCCCTCCACCCGAAGTGCGTTCACACGTTGCCGAGAGAGCCCGAGATCCCTCCCTTTTGGATTCAGGACACGCAGGGTTGTCCTGCCTGAGACCCTTCTGCCTTCGGGTCGTGCCGACACCTCCTTTTACTTCGTATCCTGCTTACAACCTTGACTGATCTCCCTGCCCGCCCTGTAAATTCCTCTCCCGCGTCGTGGGTCGGCGCTTTCCTGGAACCTCTCCCCTCCTGGCCGCGGAGGCTGCAGGCCAGAAGCGCCACAGGCCGCGCATCCCCCCCTTGTCCTAAGGCGTCATCGCCCCCTCCTGCGCTCACGGGGCCTGGTCTTTCTGCCCCCAGGTCTACCCTTCGCAGTCACTGCTTTCCCGGCTCCTCCTCGTTGTGGGAGATGACGGTCCTGTTTCTTTATGTCCAGTGTTCTTTTGTCCCAATCCCACCCCACTGGGAATGATCTGTTCCAAGAGGTGGGAATCTATTCCATCCCCCTCCCTGTAATGTATGGGGAAGGGGTATCAGGAGACAGACAGCGAGTAACTGAGAGGAAATAGAAAAACTGAGTCAAGAAGAAAGAGTGGCGTCATAAATAAGTACAGACCAGATGGGTGATGGGTTTGCAGAGAGACAGTAAAAGCGTGGGTGGTGGGGGAAGCCAACAAAGAAGCAGGGAGAGAAAAGTCACTGGGGAAGCTTAGAGAAATGCTCGCTCTCCAAAGAGCTGAAAGATAACAAGATAGGGAGAGGGGCTGCAAAGGGAAGCATCTCAGACACAGAGTGAGGAGAGAGGAGGAATGATTTAGAGCTACAACAGACAGCAGCCTGGTGCTGGGAAAAGAGGGAACAATTGGTGATGACAGGAGAGGGAGAGACACAGCAGCAAGGAAGCTAGGAATCTGGAGATGTCAGAATGAGGGCCAGGGATTGTAACAGGGAGAGGAGTTTATGGGGAGAGCATAGATGGGGGAGGAAAGAGCCAGAAATGTGTGGAGATTGAGACAATCAAAACTAGGAGAAAGGAGCAAGAGATGCAAGTTACAAGAATAGGGCAGAACAGCTGGGCAGAAGCCCAGGGGAAAACAAAAGAAAAACAGCTAGAGAGAGAAGGTGAGAACGAGAGATAAGGACAGAGAGAGGGAGGGAAACAGTAATGAAGAAAGAGGGGACCCTGGTCCAGATGAGGGGTGGCATGATTGGATATGGACGAGTACATAGTGAAATGTTGATTTCTGTGTATATGATCTAATTTTCTCTTTTGAGATAGGGTCTTTCTCTGTGCCCCAGGCCAGAGTGCATGATACAGTTGTAACTCATTGCAGCCTCAAATTCAAACTCAAGCGTTCCTTCTGCAGTAGCCTCCCAAGTAGGTAGTCTGGGACCACAGGTGCATGCCATCGTGCCTGGCTAACTTAACTTTTTTGCAGAGTTGAGATCTTGCCGTGTTGCCCATGCTGAACTCCTGGCCTCAAGCAATCCCTAAGCCATCGCAAAGCACTGGGATCACAGACATGAGCCACCACACCTCACCCTTATAATCTAATACTTGTATTTTAAATACTTTGCTTTAAATTACTCAGATGATGGAGTGAATAGCAAAAGTTCTGTTCTGTAAGGCTGGTGACCTTTATAATTCTCAGTGCTAGAGGGTAAATTCTGCGTTTAATCCCTATTCAGCTGTAGGGCAGTGACTTGTTTCATTCGGTTGTGGGTCACCCTCTTCCAGTACCAAAAAACCAAATGTTTTTCATCCTCTCTCGATCAATGCAGTAGTCTACACTCAACACAGCATACTTCACCACAGGTCACCAAAGTGTTTGAGGACTTCTCCCCATTAACAACTCATTTTTCATTACTTAAAAGGCTGTAGTGGAAAGATCGTCTGAGCCCAGCAAGTCGATGTGGTGGCCATGAGCATGCCACTGCACTCCAGCCTGGGTGACAGAGTAAGACTCTGGCTCAAAAAAAATATGACACTTTCCTTACCCCCTCCCTTGGTTAAATTTATTTTACTGAGTGGCTCACAGAAGGATACAGAAGAACTGCTTGTAAGAACTGTCCTAGCAACTTAGTTAAATCCAAGGAGGGGGTGAAGAAACCACAATATTTAGGAGGTGAGTCAGAAAGTGGCAATGATGCCTGCATGTGAGGGGGCAGCCTTGTGGAACTGAGCCTTTAACGTGTGGGTTTGATGTTATCCTGTAGATAGGGGTAGAATTGAGATAAATTGTAAGACCCTCAACTGGGAGTCCACTGGAGGACTGGTAAGGGTAGGAAAAACCATACACATGTTTTGGTCACTAGAGGTGAAGTATTCGGTACTGAGTGTGAGAGTGGTCACAGCAGTTTGGGTTTTTCGCATCTCATACAGTGAAGGGAAGGGATGTTTTCCATCCTGCCCACCCTCCTGTCTCAAGGCCTGAGATCACCATAGTGACTGGGAATGGTCTGTCCCTGCTCCTGGCTGTTGCTGACCCTATGATCGTGTCTCATGTGCCAGCCTCCCTTGCAGTCTCAAGACAGTATGGCCTACTTCTTCCAAGGCATTATCAATTTTACATCTAGGGAATTATTTGGATCAGCGTACTCAGATGGAGGTGTTGTCCATTAAAACAGACACAGGCACACACACACACACTGCCTTTTTTTTTACATTCTTTCATCTTTAAAACAAAAGATTCTCCTAACTACTTTTCTCTGTAGTAAGTTACCCACTTCTATGCTTCAAGCATAATGCATTAAAAACTTCTTACATTTTTTGAGTTCTTGCTTGAACCCTTGAAATTCGTCCTTGAATCAAGGTTTCATATCCAACATTTCGCTGATCCTTTGTTTTTCAGTCCCCAGTATCCTCCCATTTCTAAATCCAAGATTTCATTTTTTTGCCTATGAACTGCATGTGGCAGGATGCACACTTTCTCTGTTATCTTGGCTTTGAGCAGATGCCATTAATATTTAGAAACTCTTTGTGTTAATTTCCTTGTTGCCTCCCTAGTCACTTCCTGCTTTCCTCTTCTGGTGTCTCCTGATCTTCCTTTTCTCTGAATGTGGCATGACCCCGCCTCAGTCCTTGAACATTTTCTCGTTTCTATCTGCACACACTGCCTTTCCTTGTCATCTTATCTCCTGGATTTAAACCGATCTGCATGTCTCCATTAGGCCTGCAGAACTCTACCCTGAACCTGGGTCCAGCTGTCCCCTAAACTCTCATGGGATGTCTAACAATCTTCTCTCCCTTCACGTGTCCAGTAATAACTTCCTAAACTCCAAACGCGTTCCCTGCAATCCTGCACATCTCAGATGAGGGCCAGCCTGTTCTTCCTAGGCCTTGCTGAAACTGTTCACATGTAGTTAAGATATAGAAGATGTGACATTATTTGTGAGCCAATTTATTTATAGAAAAAGGTAAAATGTTTGTTTACTTAAGATGAATTGCATATTTCCAAAACCTTTTTGAAGTATGGGAGAAAAATGTTTGGAGCTTTGGTTCCTCCCTGATCTGCTGCCCAGGATCCCTCTGGCTTCATCTCTCTTCTGTTCATCTCCTCGCTCTGCTCCAGCCACACGGGGCTCTCCCCTATTCCTGGGGTGGAAGCTGCTCCTGCCTCAGGCCTTTCAATTGGGCTGTCCCTCTGCATAGAACCCTCTGACCCTCAGCTGCAGGTGCAAATACCCTTCCTTCCCCAGGTCGTTCTTATGATGTCATCTTCCTGGTGGAGGCTTCTGTGCCTTCCCGTGTCCCCAGTTGACATTCCAGCCACACCCTCAGCCTGACCTCTGGTCCATATTGCCTGCTCTGCATTTGATTTTTCCTTTTCCCTTGTCTCTCGCTGTGTGAATCCTGGCGACAAAAAGATGACAAGGTGAGAACAGAACCAGAAGGTGGGAGGTGGGCTGGGCCTGCCCACCTGAGAGGAGCTCAATCCTGGCTTCTCATTAGAGTCCTGAGGTGTTTTGGAAAATATCTCTTATGCCCTCTTACCAGATACTTTCATTCAAATAGGTTGGGCCCAGCCTAATGTTCTATGTTGATTCGATTTCTTGTCCAGCATAGAGCACCAAGGCCCTGTGTCCTCCATTTCTGAGGACGGACGTCAGCCTGTGATCCACACAGAGGTGGGTGGAGGGCTGTACTCTTCATGGGATTTGATCAGGACCGGGTCTCCAGGATGGGCACTCAGTCCAGTCCAGCTCCCGACTGCTGAAGCGAGTGTGTAGGCTCCTCCAGGAGGGGAGCAGGTTCTGAAGAAAGGGGCCAAAAAACTCACTTGGTTTTTTTTTTGTTGGAGTTTATTGTCCTTGTGTTCCCTCTGGGGCAATGGGCAGCAAAACACAGTCTTTCTACAGGGCGAGGTCGCTGCTGTTTGTGATTGAGGCATAGGACAGGGACGTGTTGATTCTGAGCAATAACAGTATGTTTTTGCCATCTAGGATTGACGTCTAAAGCCTCATGGTGCATGAAGAAGCCCAGAAGCGGAGGAGGAGTCAAGAAAAGCCATTAGGGATGGCTCTGTCTCCGGTAAAGCGACCTTCTCAGTGGATTGTCCTGTCTCCTTCCTGTGTGAAATCTCAGGCGTTGGAGTTACTCATCCCCTCTGGGTCTGAAACATCCTTACTCTCCTGTCTGCTCACACACCCCGTCTTCCCTCAGTCCCTCTTGTCTCCACCTAGATTCCATCTCCCCATGACCTAGTGAGGTGAAACATGAGGAAGTTCCATGGAGCGTGGTCCTGGGAAGGGCTCATTGAGATGTGGATGGAGATGGGGTGTGAGCCTTGTGGTATGAGATCTTTTGGGCAACAGGGTTGTCTTGGGGCCACATCAGCTCTCTAGATCAGGGTTAGAGGATGTTCATGTGGCAGTTATACATCAGTGTGCACAAGGACCTGGTAAATTCTGGAATACGAGACTGAGGAGAGTAAATATTTTGAGCTTGATTTGATAATACATTTGAAGCTGAATAAGGAAGGCGTTGTGCTTTTTAGTTCACTCTTAATGACTGGGAATGGGATGGAAAGTTGAGTCAGGGGCCTCAGTGACATAGGATGTTTCATTCCATCATCTGTTTTAATATGTGAGACAATATGTCAACCAGCAGGAGATCCATTAAACTATACTCACAGAATCATACCAGGGCGAAACTGGTGTTCCTTTAGGTACCCTTGTGCAACATATGTTTTTGGTGAGGATGATTATAATTTTTCTAAGACCTAGGAGCAGCACTTATTTGCCTTTAGAGAGAATAAAACCATAATCTTGTTCCAATTATTGGTAAGCATTTTATTTCTCTTCTTATAAACATGATATGATGTATATATTTGTTTTCTAGTAAAAATTATCTTTTCTTTCCAGCCACCCCTCCTCACATTGCATTGGGGAACCACTGTTCTCTGTTCTGTGGGGAGAGTCCATGAGACTCCTGTAGAATGTATTTTTACA